ATGCATAATCAGATACTGTAATTTGACTTGACTTACAGAATTACAGTGGCTTTAGTGCACACGCCATGTGTGTTTATTGTATTTGACACTTTCAAATATTTTATCCTCATGTATATGGGTAGATGTGTTTGAATGATTGTATTTGTGTTTTTTTCTCCAGTCTCAGGGTTATTGCACAGGGATTGTTAGATACATCCATACAAATACCTAGACATTATCCAGTCTCCTCACAGTATTAATGTTATATTAATATACCCAATATTCCAGCCTCAATTCAGCTCATTTGTCTGAAAAAGACTTTTTAAATAACAACCCCTAGCTTGTTTAATGGCTTTTCCACATTATTGCGCTCCCTTATGTAAATGTTGGATCATTTCTGTCTGCTAATATCTGCGTCGTTTGTTTTGTCATTGTTGTTCAGCTATGAACGCGGGGGCCCACATTCTCCGGCATTGGTCTGTCAACATTTAAAGAGCAAGCATGAGCAGCCTGGATCAAGACCAGCGTCTCCATCCTAGTTGCCGGGACAAAACAACAGTCTCTAGTGATTCATCAGACGCTCGTGAGCTTGCCAAGCAGCCTCTCCAAGGTCTAAAATTGGCATCCCATGCAGTGCTGGAGGAAGCACAGCAGAGGGGCAGGTTGAAGTGCTCTAAATGTGGAGGATCAAGGATGTTCTTCTGCTACACATGCTGCTCATTAGTGGGTGTCACCCCACAAGAAATCCCCTTAATCAGGGTCAGTAAGTGGTTAGGACTCACTTGATTTGTTCTTTTTAGAGAGACCTTGGTTATAGTAGTATCCTAATGTGGTGGAAAATGTTTTGTCTTTCATGTACGATTTGGGAAATTTCGCACAGGGTGTGGTTGAAATGTAACCGCCTTCTTGACCTGACTGTACATATTTTATGTTGTGCTCAGCTTCCAGTGAAGATCGACATCATCAAGCATCCCAACGAGACAGATGGCAAGAGTACTGCAATCCATGCCAAGATCCTTGCACCCAGTGACGTCACTATATACACATACCCCTGCATACCTGACTATGAAAAGGACAAGGTAAGTTGTTTTTCATGCTGAAAGTTTGTTTAACTCTTACACTTTTAAAGGTCCAGCATGTAACATTTAGGATGATCTATTGGTAGAAGTGGAATATATTAATAGATATCTCAAAAAAAGTATTGTTGTGTTTGTTACCTTAGAATGAGCCGTTTTTATTTTTATTTTTTGCCCAAAACCCCAAGATATTCAATATACTACCACATAATACAAAGAAAAGCAGAAATTCCTCATAATTGCCAATTAATCAATCAACAAGTACTCTTATTTAAGTACTTATTATCTTCATATTTCTACTGCTTATTTGTCTTCTTTTACCTACTCCAGTGTCACTGCACCTTATTGGCTTCATTTGTTTATACTTTGAATGCAAGCAGCTGCTGCCTACTGCATTATGTATCTGTTGTAGAATAACTCATTTTAGGTTTTGATCCATACTGTTCTGATCTGGAGTAGATTTACAAGACCGTTTGCTGCATTTTCATATTTCATGCTTGACAAATTTACATTTCATAGCTCTAGTTATATCATGCATAATCAGATACTGTAATTTGACTTGACTTACAGAATTACAGTGGCTTTAGTGCACACGCCATGTGTGTTTATTGTATTTGACAGTTAAATTTTTTTTCTCTTTTCTTCTATCAAACTGTATTTCATTCCTCTTTCAGTGCTTCCTAAATTAAGCCACATAAAAATCATTACGTTGTAGAAATAACGTATCTTAGAAACACATATTGTTTGTACTCTTGTCTTAGTTTATATGATAGTGTTCCAGTCTGAATCTGTGTTGTCTCTCGGCTCTCTCCAGGTAGTGTTGGTGTTCCCTGGTCCAGCAGCTGTCTCGGTTCTGGACATGATGCAGTATTTGCTTGACAGGACTGACAGCAATTCATATTACTCCTCTGATGAACCCTGCATAAAGAGGCTGAAAAGTGAGGAAGTTCAAGGCGCCACACACACTGCCGAGAACCTGAAGTCAGGGACACCAGATGAAGCAAAGGGCTTGGAGTCAAAGGTGTATCCCCTAGAGAGGGTGGTCTTCATTGACAGCACATGGAACCAGACCAACAAGATCAGCACAGACGAGAGACTGCAAGGTAATCATCAAAAATTGGATTTGTGCAGTATTTTAAAGAGCTCTGACTGGTGGTAATTATTGGGGGCAAACTTACTTCACCCACAATGCTGTTTAACATCTCACTCATGTGTTCTCGTGTGCTTTCTGACTGATGTATTCTCTAGATTTGCTCCGAGTAGAGCTGAAGATGAGGAAAACATGTTTCTGGCGCCGGCAGAAGGGCAAACCAGACACTTACCTAGCTACTATCGAAGCTATTTATTATTTCCTCAAGGACCTCCACGAGCAATGTCTTGCTCAGAAGTACAATGGAGAATATGATAACCTTCTCTTCTTCTACTCTTACCTGCACTCAGTTGTCAACCAGGCTAAGACTTCTGCTGGAAAATGCTGAGAGGAAAACCTGAAGTCAGCTACAAGAGACTGTTACTAACTGTAGCTGAAGGGTTGATTCACATGCCAGCCTGCTGTGTTTGGTTTTATTTTATGGCTCAGTGATATTTTATTTAGTAAGGGATACTGTGACATCTGTTTGTATAAGAATATGCAATAAAACAAAGGGTTTACTAAAACATGAATGAGGTGTGTTTGATACGAGTAAATACAAGAAATAGAAGTAAAAACAAAATCCTAGAGTTGCAACAAAGGTTGGATAACAGCAAGCTGAAATAAAACAATGACCACCACAAACAGTTAATTGAGGTATTATAAAATCAAATGGGAAATAACGAATGAATTTTGGTGTGACCCAGAGACTTCATCTTTTAATCCTGTGAGGATGATCTCCCTATTTAAATCGTATAATAATGTTGCAGTGTGCAAGGAAATTGACTTCAGATATGTTTAAATATTTTTATTTACAAATCAGTACACGTGTTTGAGTTATTCATGTCCCATATTTTCCACAAAAAAAAATCATCTTATGAATCGTGGGCACCTTGTAATAGAATCACATTTTTTTTGAAGACCCAATAAATCAGTTCTCCCAAAAATATATATGTTGAAAGCCAATGCTGGAAATATAGTAACTGTCAACCTGCTTCTGTACTTGACAACTACTGTCCATGATTGTGAGCTAATGAGGGGACACTAGTAGAAGGTCTCTCTGATCTTGGATTGCAGGCTGTCACATGTCTTCTTGGCATCTCCCAGCAACATTGATGTGTTGGGCTTGTAGAAAATAGGGTTATCTACTGCAGCGTAGCCCACACCCAAGGTACGTTTCATCACGATCACCTGGAGTAAAGTTTAAATAAGTGCTTATGGTCACTTTTTGTTCTGCACAGCTAAAAATACACTGATACTGCTGCTGCATTGGGCTGTGCATTGGCAAGAATCTGGCGATACAATACATACAATGATACAGGGGTTACGATTCGATATATTGCGATATTGTAAGCAAGGTGATATATTGGAATTTCATGGAAATAAGAGTATAAAGAACACAACACTATATGCATACAATCTAGTGTTTTTGAGAATCAACAGAATATCACAAAAATATTGCAATATGTTATTTTTCCATATTTTCTTACACCCTTAATGCAGCAGCAGCACATATAAAAAAAAAAAGATAACTTAAAAACCAACCTGTTTGGATTTCCACACCTCCAGAACAGGCATGCCAGCAATTATCGAGTTTGGATCTTCTTGTGCTGCAGAATTCACGGTGTCGTTGGCTCCAATGACCAATGTCAAGTCTGTCTCTGTGGGCCACAGACATTTACACATTTATACACACAAACCGCTAGCAAAATGTTCTGCAATTATCCTCACTCATGTTATTGGGTTCCCCGGCACCACACTTATCTCCTCTGTCATAAACAGAACCATGTGTTTCAGACTGAATGCGGGGTTGCTAAGAAAACAAGGCTGTTGCCCTGATAACAAGGCATGTCTAAATATCAAGACACAACACGAGACCAAGTGTAGAGGGGATGCGATTATTACACATTGTTGATCTAGTATTATTATCCAACACCTTCCTGCCAAAGATATAACTATGTAGCAACAATTACTCTAACAGCTCTCACTAGACAAATAAGAAAAAAAACCTGGGAAATCGTCATTGATCTCATCCATCTCCAGGACCACATCATAGGGAACACCAGCCTCAGCCAAGAGGACGTTCAGCTGGCCGGGCATACGACCAGCCACTGGGTGGATACCAAACCTGTTGGAGATGGACGCAAGATATTACCGCTCATCAACACTTAATGAAATTAAATTCACTGCTCCCTGATCAATGATGCCCTGCTGCTGTGGTGCCACAGGTACATATGCACCCGTCTCTTTCTAAACCAGTTCAGATTTGTTGTTAAAATATATATAACAAAAACAAGCAGTGGTGGAATATTGAAAACTTTTACAAAATATTATATATATATATATATATATATAAGTAAAAAAAATGTAAGTAAAAAAATTCTGCATTTAAAAATCATACTAATCAAATATTATTAGCAAAATGTAGTTAAAACTATCAAGACTAAAAGTACCTCAACTACTGGGAACTAATGTTTAGTATGTAAAATTTAATTCTGAAAATTAAGTAGTAACTGGAAGGGTAAGGGTAGTGGAGTAAAAAAGTACAGCGTTTCACTCTGTGTGGCGTAGAAGTACATAGTAATTATCAGAAACAGTACAGTACAGTAATAAAGTAAAGGTACTTCTGTCTCTCTTTTCTTCAAGTACTAGCAAGGAGTTGTTTTGTGGTTTAAGTGTCGTGCGGATCTTTAAAGCAAAACAGAGAAGCAGCAGTAATCGATGAAGAGGCGTGAGTGAAGACAGTCACCTGACACTCTTGCCTTGTTCCTTCAGCATCTTCACCATGTCGGCAATTGGGTACTGGGCTTTGGCTGCACACAGACCCCAACCTAAACACAAGAACATACAGAGAATAAACATGCAATAGCCAAAACAAAAAAAAAACCTTCTTAATTTTAGGATATAATCAGTTTTATTTTACTGGTGTCTAGAGACTTTGTAAATTCTTTCTTGGCCTATATTGGAATAAAATTCCACACAGTTATTGTTCATTTTTAAATAAAAGCACGCAAATCCAGCAGGGGTTCAAGAACAATAAAACCAGTTATTCCTCGACCCTTCATTCTTTCTTTTGTCCTCCTCTCCGTGTCCTCATCTACCACAAGTCTGCTCTCTGTACAAAATCACAGTGGTTCACTGGTCTGAGAGACATTTTTCTTAGAAAAACTTTTGCATGTGTGGTGTGCATTTGGGTCCCCTGCGTGCAAAGAACTCCTTTCCCTGGGTCTACATAACCCCTACTTAACCCTGGTGGTCAGGTACCTTGTAGAGTTCAGCATTACCCCTAATCGAGTTTTTTGAAGCCAGTCGCCCGTAACCCGTATCTTCTAATTCCCCAGACAACTGGAGCCTTCTGTTTCCTCACTGCTGTGCTTTGTTGTTGACAGCGCATGGAGAAGTCTTGAGTCTGGACTCAATAGCTCTTATGACTTTTCACTGTTTCTCTAATCAAACCAGCATGTTGGACCACACAGCTGTCCTTGTGTTGGCATGGAGCCACTGGAAAACAACAGCAATCCAAGTATCCAAGACTGGTTCCTCTTGCTCAGGTCACTCAGCAACTACTCGGTTGTGAGACAAGTTTGGCTTTTTCAACTTAATAAATCCAGACACGTTCACCATCTCACACTCAAAAATCAAGCCCATCATCCTGTACTCTTGGCTGACGAGTATGTACTGACACAATCACTTTATATACTATGTGTGTCCCATGAAACCAGGTGGCTGTGGGACCATTTGTGGACAAACTGCTCCCTCTTGTGGTTACCATACTTCAATATTCTGACTTTAATTAATTACTACCATATCAATCATTCCAAGATCCTGACCATTTCCAAATGCTTTGCGAAAGCTTCTAGCTTTCCCAGAGCTCCTGCGAAAACAGTTTTGATCCACATTTTGGCAGAGCGGTCAAGTTCAGCCTGGCCAGGTGAAGTTAATCAGATAGAAAGATAGTTGATGTTATTGATCTAGACTGTCTGAAAAGCTGCAGCTGGACTGCAGAGGAATTGAGTGATGAGAGAACCTGATATTAAAAAGATTCTGCTCCACCTTTGTCTTTGATGTCAACCCAAACCTCTTTCAACACCCGTCTCTACCAAAGAGTCCAGTCTTTTTCCGCAGTGTCTCCACTGACTGCTGGGGGAGAAGCTTTTGCTACTGTAAATGTATGCATGGTTTACTTATGAGTGACTCAAGTTGAGTTGTATTGTGGGTTATGTAGGTACTAAGTTTTGACAAAGAAGTATATGTGAAATAAAAAGACTCATTTGGCCAGGTAAAATCAGATTTAGTTGAATTTCTTTAACCAATCCAGTGTGTCATGTTTGGCAATAAAGTTGTAAATGATGTTCCTTAAAAATACCCAGTTGACTCACAAATGTCTTGTGTTGGATGTACAGTGTGTACCTGGTGTGATGATGATGCTGTTGGCTTCTTTGATTATGTCAATGGTCTGGTCCACATTGACCTCAGTGTGAGTGCCAACAATCTCCATGGGCTTACCGCCCGCTGTGGAGGTGGTGCCGTACCCACCCAGGATCACATTGGGCAGGGAGCGGTTCATAGCCTTGTAGGAAAGAGGACATTAACTCAGGATCAGGTAATTGTGGTGAGTATATTCTGTAAGTTCACACATGTGGCTGGATATGCGTTTACTCACCACACACATGATGTAGGAGAGGATGGCACCGGAGGAGCCAATCAGAGCTCCGACAATCGTCATGAGATTGTTGTCTAGCAAGAAGCCCTCAGCGCACAGTGCCCATCCAGAGTAGCTGTTCAACACGGTGATGACCACGGGCATGTCAGCGCCCCCGATGGCTGCTGTCAGAGTTACACCCTATGTGGATGTACAGGAATAAGACAAGTTAAAACATGTGAACTACTTAAGCTAACTTGTTTCCAAAATGAGATACAACAATATAGCCTAGTCTGTAACAACCGCCACGTGTGTAACATCTCCTTTAATTAAGTTTCTAAATTATTGTGCAATTATAAAATTAAATTTCATCTCTTCTCAGCTTAGTCAATCATCGAAACTCACCATAATAGTGGAAAGCCCTGACACTCCCACTAGACACCCCATGCCAGTACCGTAGCTGGAACTGAGCATAAAGGGTACCATGCCTCCCATCGACGCTGCCATCAGACCAGCATTCAACATGTGTCTTCCCGGCAACAGCAGGGGGGCAGAGTTCAGGACGCCTACAACCAAAAACATTTTCAACAAACATTTTCAAAGAAGCCAGAAATGCTTCCCCCTCTTTTGTACGGCTAAATGGAAATAATTTGACAAGATAAAAACATGTAAACACACTTTTCTCTTAAGTGGTGTTTAGTGTCTTTGGAATCTCAAAGGAGGCCTGTGGAGACCTCTAATCAGCTGTCTAAAGAGTCTCTCCCATCCACAAATCAGACAGCAGCCCTTCATCAACCACAGCCACGCAGCCACTGCCCTGCCCTACTCATGAGAAATTACCAGAAAGCTTCTCATGTGTTCCCCTTGATCAGTTGCACTACAACGTAAATTAGTGACTGATGACACATGCACACAAACCCCACCCCCCAGTCCAGGCCTGGGTTTACCAGAGGATCTTTGGCTTTAACTGGATGAAAGAGACAATCAGCACCAGAGGAGGCAAAGCTTAGTGTGTTTATGTAAATATTAGTGTGTCTGTGTCAAATAAAGAACAAGATCAGACTAAAGGGCATAGTCTACAGACTTTATAACGTGTCACATGCACAATATCTAAATGTACTTCTATTGTAGATGCAAGAAATATGTTTTAAAGTCAAATCTGTTACCTTGAAGCTTGCCGTAGGCCACCAGCGAGCCACTGAAAGTGACCCCACCGATGTAGGTGCCC